TGAATAACTTCAAACATACAACAGCAACGAAACGGTATTCTGTGCGGTGTATCACTCTGAACACATAACCTGTGAAATGTACTCGCGAATGGACAATTACGGTAAACGGTCCATTTATCTTGAGCCGCATAACTGGTCCGCCTAATCTGAAATACTGGTTAATTCACAATAATTATTCCTGGACAACTTTTTGTCATGTCTCGACTGTGAAAAATGTTTTTTTTTTTAGTTTTCTCATATGTGAAAAAAGAGTGAAAAAAATTTAAGAGGATGGATGGATGTTTGTAACGAGTTTGTAGCTTAAACTGCTGAACGGATCTCAATGAAATTTGGCATACATGTAAAGGCTAGTCTGAAAGAACACATAGGCTACTTACCTTTGTTTTTTTTTATACCACGCGGACGGAGTCGCGGGCGAAAGCTTGTATAGAATAATTATAGGTTTAAGTGTGTCGTGCATTAACGATGAAGTCATCTAAGATATCTACGCTTTTGCTACAGTATGTGCTACGACGCTACGATGCTACGAAACTACGATAGTTTCAAAATAAGCTATGTAAATAAGCTTTACAACTGATTACCTATCCAAATTAATTAAATCTTTGAAGTAATATTAAAAGTTTTTAGAAAATAGTATTTTGACGAATACAAAACCGTATTGGAAAGTTGGCCACAGGTTGTCGACACTTGACTGACGCCGCACAAATAGCCGGGAATAGCATTGGCCATTTCATTTGAAACAAAAAGGAATTTATCCCGATTGCCATACGACCTTTAGCAATTCCAATGATATTTCAGAATAGGGTTTTACAAGTGACGTGGAACAAAATGCGGTGACCTCCGACTTTGTCGCCTTTTAGATGCCATCTCTTTTTTATATCCTGCCCCTTAAGTTTTATGTTAAAGCTGTTCAAATAAAACTAACGAATTTTTTCTTGCAAATAAAAATGTCTCATGGACGAAGCCGTTAAGGGACTGTTTGTATGACTTATCTTTTTAACTTATTTAATTCGATTAAAAACGATTACAAATTTTCATTGGTGTAAATACTAGCTGTTGCTCGCGACCTCGTCTGCATGAAATTAGTTATGTTACTTACAAATAAATTACCTTTCTAACGGTGAAAGAATTTTTAAAATTGTCCCAAAAGTTTTTAAGTTATTTCAATACATATAGAAACACAAAAATACAAATATATCCTCTTTATAATAGTATAGATAAATGGTTAACGACATTTTACTGTCTTAAAAAGAATGTATGAAGTCTCACCGTCATGTACTACGTAATCATAGCAACCAAACATGTAATTAATTTGCCCCGGTTTAACTCACATTCGCCAAACAAATATGCGGCGTCACCCGCCGCCCGACTCCAACTTTATTTAACTGCTGTTGAAGGTTGCCATATATTCGTCCAAAATAATTATTTTAGCTTAAGTGACTTCAATGGGTAGATTCCCTTTTAATTTACCGTTGTTACAGCTTAAATGTTACAATTTAACTCCGATTTGTCCTTCTCAGAACATTTAACCTGAACATATTTCCGTTTCCGTACAAACATTTATGTTTTTAGTTGGAAATAAATTGTTCGTTTTTAGTCGGAATTCTATATATATCTCCGTTAACAGATCGCTGTTTATCCACTCAATTCAATCAGAATGGATTTCTGCCTACGCTTAGGCATCCTACACTTAACATGACGTCATAAACACGTCATATTTATTTTTTTAGTTTGCACGCTCTTGTCTCAAGAATAGTATCAGTTGAGAATGATTACAAAATTAAAATCTGCTGAGGAAAATCGAAGAAGGTGAAATCAGGGTAAATAGCTGGTTTTACTTCTTACTAACATTACAAATAGGAAAGTTAAGACGAATGCATGTTAGTGAGTGTATGTAGCCTAAACTGCTGAACGGATCTAGATGAAATTTGTCTTGATGTAGAAGATAGTCCAGAAGAACACAGGCCACTTCTTTTGTTTTTTATTTTCATGCAGACGGAGTCGCGGGTGAAAGGTTTACAATAAAATGTTTAGTGAACGACTAAAAAAACGAGTTTTTTTGTTTTAATATAGCGATAAAACTTTAGATGCTATTTGTTCATTTCCCAAGTAACCTATTACTTTACCCACCGGTCCTTGCCTTTTAAAGCTTATATAAAATTAAAACAAACTCTCTCGGTCGTGCAAGCCAAAGTGTTATAAGTGCTACAGCAAGTTAGACCGCAGTTTTAACTAGATTATCTTTGATCGATTCGTTAATTGACCTATTTCTTTATAGTAGAACATCTTAACATGAAAAAACTTGATAAATAACAAACTTTTCATATTAAACATTAAACGGACAAGCAAATGAGTTTTTAATTAAAATAAAAACGATTTATTATGGACAACAAATTAATTATATATTATGTAAAAACCACGACGAATGTAAGAAAAATGTTTGTATCATTTTTTGTCATGCATTTCTCTCTGTCTTATAGAATGCATTTTGACATCTGTCAGATTGTAATTAACGCTTACGTAGCGACTTGTTTAAGATTTTTACGACGACATTTTAGAGAGCACCATTTTACACATCTTTTCTGTATTATTAAATCGAATCGCTTCTGAATATTTCATGTTACATGTGTAATTAAGTAATCATTTGAATATGTCTCAGATAAAACATTTAACTCCCATCAGTGGGAAAGGCTTGACGAGACGTAGTAATTGTTTGGCTTCCCGCCAAAACGTACCGCCTGACGTACTGGCAATCGCTGCAACGGTTATGGAAATCTGGCTGTGACATCTGGAAATCCTTACGTACGTCTTTTGCTTGTTGAAAATTTTATTGTTTAAATACTTCGCAAAGTCTTATAAATTACTTATCTCGCAGGAATTTCGATGTTTTGCCAGGAATAATTTCTTTATTAGTATGTAGAAATATGAAATTAAACATCGCATATCATATTAATATTATAAATGCAAAATTTTAGATGGATGGATGGATGTTTGTTGGAGTTTGTAGTCTAAACTGCTGAACAGGTCTCGATGTAATTTGACACAGATGTAGAGGTTAGAAGGACACATAGGCTACCCACTTTTGTTTTTTTTTAAGTTCCAAGCGGACTGAGTCGCGGGCGAAAGCTAGTCTTACAATAAATTATCTATACTACGGGTAGTATCGTAAAGAGGAAAGATTTGCATTTATGAATGTATTGAAATAACTCCAAAACTACTGGGCCGATTTTAAAAATTCTTTCACCATTATAAAGCTACGTTATCAGTGAGTAACATAGGCTATATTTTTAAATTTAATTTTTTAATTTGATGTCGAAGACGCGCGCAACATCTAGTAAGTACTAAAAATACGATTAGTAGAACAAAATATACATTATAAATGTTTACTATTTTACAGCATCTGAAACCGAGCAGTAAAAACCATAATAACCTATTAGAAATATAAACCAATAAGAAAAACTAGCTATTGTAAGAGTAAATTGATTTATCTTAACACAATACATAGATAACACTTCATCCAATAATAGTCAATGGCAGTTGAAGATAATCAAACAAAACAAAAGAACTTTGGGAAAAATCGATTCCTTCGAAAAAGCTTGATTGGTTTCCTACTTATACCATGCGAGAAAATAGCGAAATGTTGGCATATACGTTGTTTTGCGAATTTTTTTCTCTTTTTTTGTATAGATTTCCGCAACTGCAAACGCGTTGCCTACCCTTATTCGACGGACGAGGAGACGCACAAAAAGCGGATATTTCCCCTACCTGTGCGTCCTGTTCCACCGTCAAATCCGATTTTTCTTCCCATCTTCACCTCTTAAAAAAGGGTGGACAGGGAAAGGGGTAATAATAAAGCCTCCGGTACCACACTCATCAGAGGAAAGGCGGAGTTACTTCCACTTCAAGCCTGTCTTCTGTGTGGTCATGGTATTGCACGGGACCTTATCGTGCGAAGATGTTAAAGCGGGCTCTATCAGTATTCTTACTTCACGTCCTTTTCCCCGAAAAACCCATTTCCTTATATCATGCATTTTTAGAAATTACTATAAAAACTTTCGTATCAAAAACGAATGTTGATTTAGAAGGGTAAAGCAATAAGTCCACTAATTAACACACTTTACGAAGTAGATATTGAATTTCCTTACAAATGGAGTTTCCCTTTTCTTTGCCTTGTAATTAATAACATCAAATATTTATAATAGTTCCACAAATTGACCAAGCTTTTATTAATATCGCTAAAAGGCGGGTAGTTTCAAAGAATTGTAGCTATTAAAAAATCACATTTGAAATCCGTTCATGCAAAAAATGTTTGAAACACAATCTAAACTTCCGTAACTGAAGAAACTATGAACTAATTAAATTAATACTCATATTATAAAGAGCAAAGCTTTGTATTTTTGTATGTATTCGTTTCACGTCTAAACTACTGGGTTGATTTTAAAAATTGTTTCACTATTTGAAAAGTAATTTATCTGTGAGTAACATCTATACTATTATCATCAAGCGTAAACAAACACTTCTTTGTTGCCTAAGATGTCAGCAATTACAACATATTTTTGAATGATTCTTTTTTTAATAAAAAGCCCTACACTCACGTCACGCTTTAGGCTATATATTTTTACGACATTAAACTTGCGTGGTAAATATTTTGGATAAAACCCTAATGTGGGAAAGAGACCATAAGTTGCTGCCAACATTAAGGAAGCAAGATTGCCAAGGTTTGTCATGTCATTTTGACATTTGCTATTGATAATTTGACATAATCTCATGCGGATGAAGCCGCACGGGAACAGCTAATAGGATATATTAAATTACTACTAGTATTTAGGAACTATTAATAAAGAGGATATTTCCAGACTCTGGCATTAATGTCTTACAATTTATTGCTAAATAAAACAAGACGGGTATTACCATCATCAGCCTTTGTCTGCCCACTGCTGGACATAGACCTTCCCAAATAACAGTCAAAACACAATTAAATAATATTTACAAAATCTTACCCAAATCTTCAGCGTCCTCGCTCCATTCTCCAGTCCCCACCACCAGGATAGCAGATAACGTCACTATTGTTATGTACCATAGAGTCTTTTTTACAATAAACGCGACTATTCTCAACATTTTATTCCAATTATTGTTTACATCACACTAATTTTTACAAGATTCTTAACTGCCTTATCTGAGAATATCCTAATACATTTTATTACATTCTTTTAATTTTAATTAAAATGTCAAATGAATAAACTAGTTATCATTTGTTTAATAAAATTTTATTCGCATTACATTCGCAATTGTTTTAGAGATAAATTTCGATCAATTAAACTGATTTATTTAAAACAAAACGTAACATTATTGTTCTGTGACTTATTTGTTATCATTTTTCATGACGATGTGACGACAGTTAAGATGGTTAAATGTTCAAGCAAATGTTCAGTACGCTTAGAAATGACGCGTCGTAGACAACCTGAAACAAAGTACATGCAATTAATTCATGTTGAAACTAAGGTAAGGTGATCTCTAAAATCTTGTTAAACCTCGTATTTAAAAATATTAGCTGTTGAAATAATTGTAAAGCATTAATTGACTTTGTTTATGCCATAAAAGTTTTGTCTAGGAAGCAACTTAATACTTGAATAAGAAACACGACTTTTCGTTAGATTCATAGTGTAGTACAAAACTACAATAAAATCAATACTAAAGAAAAACATATTTTAATTAAATAATTACTATTGCCGCGTTAAGTTTAGCAGTTTCTAATTGAAAAACCTTTTAAATCACGTGAGGTTGTTTAGGATAATTTAATATTCACTGTCATACGTAACATAAAATAATTTCATTTTGTTTTACATTAACAAAACGAGGGGTTTTCCAAGTTCAGTTTTTGCTAACATTTGATCGCGTATTCGTCTGCGCGTAAAAATTTAGTAAGCATATGTAATAACAATGTTCTACATCTGTTTCAAATTTCATCGAAGTCTGGGAAGTCGTTGTGGAGATACGTGGTAACAAACATCCATCCATCTAATTATACGAACTTATACTCGTAATATTAGTATGAAGTATGACTTGACGATTTTACTTATAAGTAGATATGTAAAATTCAAAACATTTGTTTTTAAAATAATAGAAGGCCGATACTACGTTTGATTACTCACATTTAACAATGAAATGTTATTATTAATCAAACTATATCATCGAAACCATTAAAATAATTGCCAATTGTCAGCGATGGTTACCCAATTGTTTACATCAGCTGATAACTTTTCGCATTAAGCCAATCTGCTGGGGTTCTGTACAGGAAAAAGTATTAAAAATAAATTTTCGGTTAGGCCTTAAATTTTTCTTTAAAAAAAACTGATAAATCGATTCAAATTTTATATTAGACATATCTTATGCTAAAGACACGTAACATCTCATCAACCCTTCATACGTAAACTTGACCCTAAGCTAATTATTTTTCATCTAGAAAAAAAGTTACAAAAACATTCTCACATGTAATCTCACAACCGCGCCTGTCTCCTGATCAAAGTTCATTCAACACGCAATTGAAGAATTACGTGAAAGGTGCATGCGTTCACAATTCGTGCATAGAAACGTGTGCTACGACGCGCGGCACGCGACTAACTGGCCCGTTTACGTCGATGGCCGTGATAGAGGCTCGGGCCACGTCGGCCGCCCTCGCCCGCCCTCGCCAGGTAACTCCATGGATCCCAGGTACATATTAATTAGAGTTCTAAATTAGCGCACTGACCGTGCAAAACTTCCTTATCAAAAAGCTCTTGAGGATAAAAACGCTTCGGAGCTTTGTACAGCTTTTCGATAAACTCATTTCATGTGTTTACACACACTTTAGTTGTATACTTTAAGAGGAATTTAAATTTTTCTATATGTAGACAAAGAGCATATTTAACTTGTTACTATTTCCTGTTCTGAACAGACTTGAACTTTTTTTCATAATACAAAAGCTTGTACATATATTTTCCTGAATACTTATTGTGCTAGATATTCAATTATAGCGGTTTCCACCAATTTCAATTTCTATCAAAGAACAACTATATTAAGTTCAACAAGACAACACAGTATGAAATTTTGCATAGACCTAATAGTCTGGAAAAAATACTTACTTTTTTTAACTTCACGTGGACGGAGTCGCAAGCGAAAGCTAGTTCCTAATAATTCATTCTAGTTATTTTATTTGAATGTTAAAATAATAACATTTATGGTACTACTTTAATCTACCAGGATATAAAGCGTAATATAATTTCAACACGCGACATTTTTATGCAAATTCAAAATATGTCTTGTTACAAATTATGTTAATTTTATACCATATCACACCAATGCTACTACGTTATTAGTATCGTGCTAACGAACTAATTCATGGTCTTTTTATACTGTTCTAATAAGGTGATTAAACAGAACAATCTAACTATCATCATCACCAGCTCACAATACGTCCCCATTGAGGGTCTCGGAGCCTACCTCAGTGGTGGCCTTAGTAATTTATCTACAAGTACCAAACATTTTTAATCCAATTGATAGGTTTATTAAATACTAGCTGTTGCTCGCAACGTCGCCCGCATGAAATTGAATTATAGTCTATGTTACTCATAGAGAAATTACCTTTCTAAAGATGAATTTTAAAAATCGGACTAGTAGTTTTTGAGTTATTTCAATATATACAAAATTACAAATTCTTTCCTTTTTATAATATTAAGTATAGACATAATCCGTATATAATCGTGTTAATACTCACTATTAATAAAAACAAGAAAAAAAAACATTAAATTAATAGCGTTTTCAGATTTTCAAAGGCTGCTAATGTAGAGTTATCTCTTGGTACGTCTAATTTTATAAGGTAACCTAGATTACCGTTAAAATTACAGTTCAGCTAAAACAAAAACAAATATTGCACGTTATGTACTCCACACACTTTAAGCATTGTGAGCATAACCAAGTTTCCTACTCACAACACCCATTACAGTACACTTTTTATGCTACAATTTACCTGTACGTTTTATGCAAGGTCAAAACCCTATACAAAAAGCGAACGTGTGGCCTTCACAAAATACCTAGTTTGTTGTCAAAAATGTATACTGTTAAGTCAAAACCGTTATAATCTAGGTGTGTAGCCTGCATTAGTAACTATAAACCGATGATATATAGAAGTAACTAGGCTCGGCCGAGCGTCAAGTAAATATAGAGACACCTCAACTCCGCCCCGCTCTTATCGATGGCCTATAACGTTTATGAGAAATTCGTGCCAAGTTAATCTACCTTGCTTCCGTTCTCAATAATTAAAATGTTGAACTACAAACTGCTATAGCACGGCGTATCCGAACGTATAAACAATATTGTTGCGAATAATTTGTGTTACAACTTTTAACATACTAGAAATAACTTGTAAAAGGTTTCAAGAAACATTTTGACTATTGCGTGATTATTTTTTACAAATCATCATCATCATCATCTCCCTTGCCTTATCCTACTCCCGTAGGGTCAGCGCACGTTTTCGTCCTCCAAAGCACTGTATCATCCATCATCTCAGTCATCAACTCCCTTCTTTTTACAAATGAAATATGACTTTTCTTAACCATTTTTTTATTATGACAGCTCCAACTTCATTATTGAAAAAAAAGTATTTTTGAACACATGCAACATTGTTGTTCTTTAGTAGCTTCTACGGTTAAGATCATGGTTATAGGGTCTGTCTTTTTATTTCGTTGAATAGGATAAAAAGTAAAATTTTACTTTTATTACGATTAACGTATTTTATGCTTACATAAAATGTTCACTAGCTATTGCCCGCGACTTTATCCACGACACATTAAGATTAAAAAAGTAGCCTATAATATGCCCGTCGATATCCTTACCCTTCAGAAAAAATCTGGTCGAAATCGGCTCAGCCATTTCGAAGTTTACCCGAAACAAACGTAGCTTGCTTACAGACAGACAGACAAAAAAAAATTAAATGCAATTCTATTCATATTCTTTTCATGTTACAAACAGACATTACAATTTTATTATATGTATAGAATATAGATATATGCATTTAGTGATACCAGAACGTTGCTCTCTTATCGATCGTTTTAAATGTTTATGAGAAATTCATGCCGAAGTTAATCTTCTAGGCTTCCGTAGTCGATAAACTAAAATATTCGTATACCAAACTATTGGGAATTCGCAGGAAAATTGTGCTCGCACAACCGTTTTGAATCAAGATGCTAGTAAAACATGAAGGAGAAATAATTTGGTCGTCTATTGTTTTTTCTAATAATAAAAAAGAAAGAAAACCGGATTATTAGTAGCTGCTAGACACTTTAAAAACATCTTCGTGGAACAGTATCTTAAAAATCATAATAAATCATCCACCAATCATTATTTCAAAACTATCGCAGTGTACATACATATACGGAACAATAAATACGATAATAAAATAAAATAGAAAGTAACTTGTTATTCGAAGAGGAATCCACACATTTCTTAACATAATCTTCCAGTATTTCCCAAGTCCTGAGTGACGAAAATTGGCAAACAGCCGTCCATTCGATATGTATTAAGCCATTCAATTTGTCGCAGCTAGTAAGACCCTTTTCAGTTTGAAATTGACATGAGCTTATTCTGTCTGGAGCCTACAACTTATCATCACTCTACCGAATTACATTAATTTCATCTTGGACTATGTCTAGAATTGAATTCATTAATCTATTTCTGTAATTTATTTAATGATAAAATAAGTTTTAGGCATTACAATTGTTAGGGGCTGTCCCACCATTGGCTGATAAAGCCTCAGATAACTTAAAAGTGGCGTCACTGTCAGATAAGGGATCAAAATCCGATATTTCCATTACATATTTAACACGTTGGATTGCTATCATCAATTTGGTAGGACAGGCCCGTAGTAACTTGGAATAAAAGATTATAAAATAAACACAGATTTTTTGGTAATTGTTATGACAATAATGGCAGTTGAAATCTATGTATAATCTACAAATATTAATTTCTTTGATTCATGTTAAAGTACTTAACTTGAAACAAGTCGTCATTCAACACAAATTAAAAATAAAGATTTATTTTTTGATTCAACCTTTTTACAAATCCAGAACGCCTGGGATTAATCCAACGGCCTTAAT